CTCTGTTTCTAGATTGAGTGACAGCTTAGGGTAGTGGATAGAGCCTTGGTTTTAGAGGCCAGCTGGTGCCAGGTCCTGCTGCTTACAGACTCTCAGGGTGACTTCTCTGGGCCCTGGGCACCTCCAACTCTCTCTGCTGCAGAGTGGGTGCTCCTTTGTGATGGTAGAGGGAGTCATCACCTCTTAGAGAACTCCCAACATCAGTGAAGTCACAAGGCTGCACCAACAAAACCCCCAAAAAAACTAAAACAAAAAAGTTGAGCTTTTAAAAATCATTTTTTCCTTTGTCTTTAGGATCTAAATAAGGATACGGTACTTTTTTTTTTAATTGAGGGCCACTGGCCTACTTAAAAAAAATTAAAGCCTAACAGGAAAAAAAAGCAACTTATTCAATAGTTTAAAAAGTATCATAGAAACCTTTCATCTGATTTTTGGTTCAGAACTAGAGAGGAGAAGTACATTACCAGCCTCCTTTGGCTGATTCGAGGAGAGCCTCTTATAAAGGGGAGAGTGCCGTAGAGCAGCATCATTATTATTTCCCCATCCCTAGATGCTTCCGTTGGTCTAGGGTCTAGGGACCTCCAGGTGGGAAAGTCTCTATTAACGCATGTCTGGAGCTCCTCTGTAACTTACAGTCCCAAGGCAGTGCCTGGAGGCAGTGAGTGGCTAAGCAACCTATAGTTGATTCCACAGGAGTGTGTAACAGATAGGATATGGCCCCACATCTTCCTGCTTGGGAGGCAGCTCTCTGTCTACCACAGCACATAGCTGCTTGGTTCAATAATATTACAAATAATAAACATACTTCAGCTCTATATTATATATTATTATTCCATAATATAGCGAAAAAAGACCTTGGTTCTATTATATTATTGTGTCTGTTATATATTATTCAATAACATAGCAAATAATAAAGGACACTTTAGCTCTATATTATGGCCAATTAAGGAAAAGAATATGGGAAAGGAAAAAAAGAAATAAAGACAGAGAGAAATGGACAAATCATTGGTTGAGGTGGGAGAGGTGAAGTATACACATGGGGAAAGGGAGAAGAGAAAGAAGGGACTTAGGAGGTTTGTGATGAGTCTATTTTCTTTTCTGAGCCATTGTTTCCTTGGGCTGTGAGTGTTAAAATAAGTTTTCAATGCCTGTTGAGATTCCAGGGAGCTCTCCAGCAACTTAGCTTGCATGGTGTATAGGGTTCTAGATCCTAGGTTTGGGGACCTTCAAAATCCCCTAGACCTGTACAAATGTACAGCTTTGTTATCCAGAGAAGAAAGACGATTTGTCCAAGGCCACCTTGGGAGCAATGGCAAAGGTAAGATTTGAATTGGAGTTGATTCACATGAAGAATTTTCATCCAAATCGTTGACCATTTTTTGATCTGTTCACATAATGCTCATGTGTACAGTGGTATCTGGAATGATTATTTTAGCTCAGTGGTGGGAAACCCCTCTGACACAGAGGCCAAGGTTAGCCTGTGGCTTAACTTTTTTCCTGCAGCTCAGAGCAAGTAGAATTATAGTGTTTTAGAGCTGCTTTCATGACAATTGCTGTGGTCACCATTTTGAAGTTTAGAGATCAGTTGCCACTCACTCAAGGTGGCATCTGTCTCCATTTGAGTCACTCACGGGACGGCAGGACTTTGAAGTTTGCAAAGTGTTTTACCTGTGCTATTTCATCTGTTCCTCCCAAAAACCCTCTGAGGGAGATAGGGCCTATTACTATCTCCATTTTATAGATAAAGAAACTGAGGCTGAGAGAGATTAGGTGACTTGCCCAGGTAGAAAAATCCAAATTTAAACCAAAGTATTAAGACTCCAGGCCTCCTTTCTTATACCCTGTGGTTCTTTTAAGGGTCTGAGAAGAGAGATAGAACAGGGATTAAAGCAATCTTTTCATTAGGGATTTGAGGAACAATCTTTTAAAAAAATTTTCAAACATTAATGTTTGTTTTCCCTGTAATTCAGTGGGTTTTGCTTGGGTGTGAAAGAGTGATTTAGATTTTAGAAATTTGCTTTGGAATCTTAGATGTTTAAAATTGACAGATTGCCTTATCTTTTTTTCACTGAGATAGGTCTGCCTAAAGATCATAATTCTATGTGGCATTTACAACCAAGTGTGGTATAGAAGACAGAAGGCAGATCTAGGAGTCAGGAAGATCTGGGTCCCATTTAACTCTCCAAGACAGGGACTGCAAACCTGCCACAGGTCTATGGGTAGGCTTCAGGGGGCCTGAGAACTTGGATGGGAAAAAGTTACATCTTTATTTTTTACCAGTCTGTATGAAAAAGGAAGGAAGGGAGGAAAGAAAGAAAAGAAAGAAAACCTATTCTGAGGAATCCATAGGCTTCAACAGTTTGCCCAAAGGGGACATGATACCAAAAGATGAGAATCTTCACTCAGACTATAAGTTACAGGTCAAGTGCCGACCTCTCACTGATGGAAGAGATTTCTATACTGGGAGTTCCCTGCACTAGTGAAATCACCAGTCAGGATGTCTCACTCATTAATTTAGAACAGGAAGGAACTTCAGAAATCATCTAGTTAATAGATGAGACTCCTCATTCAGGTATTAACTAGTAGAATTGAGATTCCAACCCTAGTGACTTCAGAACAAGTGATTCTCTCGGTGGCTTGTCAGGGCAGAATAAATAGTGGAAACAAAGTTAAAAATCCCTTCAGGAATTTATGAACTAATTAGTAAAACATAAGAAAATCTCTCCGGCACGCTTTCTGGGTGCTTTCTGACGTTTTTTACTGTTTGACCATGTCCTGAAATAGGCAGGAAAATCCTGTGGGTTCTGAGGTTTGATCCTGGCCCCTAGGGATTCCTGATTGTCATAAATCGAGCCCAGTGCCCTGTGGCATTCTGGTCTGAGGAACATCCCCAAGGCCTTTGCAGTCTTTTTTCTGCCCGTGGTCATACCCCAACATGAGGAAAAGAAAGTATGACACCAAAATGGAAGTATTTTACAGTTAGGGCATCTTCAGTATTTAGCCTTCATAGAGTGTTTTTTGTCTTAGAGGTGAAAGTAGTAACAGTCCCAACATTACCTTATCTTTTGCCTCCCCAAAGGATTTAAAAACAGGAGTGAAATGAAAAGTTCTGAACCAGTGCATTACAGGGGGGTGAGGTGGGGGTTGGGCCGGGGGTGTGTGGGGGGGAAGGTATGAATACCTTAGGGAATTTTTTTTTTTTAGGATGGTGATTTTTTTTTCACTGTCAAGACAATCTCTCCGAACTATGAAAGAAAAAAGAAAAACAGTAATACCCACACACACATGCGTGTGTATATACATATGTGTGTGTGTGTGTGTGTGTGTGTGTGTGTGTGTATATATATATTATATATATACACACACACACACACACACACACACCCCTTTCTCATCCTTCTTCAAATGGAGGCAATGACTTGTTTTTGCATTTCAAAGTATCAGAATTGTAGTATTTATGGGTAAAAGAAATCCTAGAGAAGAGATAGCACACCCAATTCCATTTTACAGATAAAGAAACTGAGACCCAGAGTAAAGCATTTTGCCCAAAGTTAAATTTAAGAGCAATGATTTGAATGTTTTGTGGTTTTTTGGTTTTTTTTTCTTTTTGATCCAGAGAGTGAGGTGAGTGGGATGGACAGATGGTTGGGGAAGGGCACTGGTAAGCATGCATTTCAAACTAGCATATCTGAAAAGAAATGAATGAGATGAATTTTACCTTTTCAGGGAAGATGGGTCTCAGCGTGTTATATGGAAAAACCTTCTGTTTTTTAAAATGGCTTAATACTTATTTGGTTCCTTTCTATCATAAGATTCTTTTCAGAGGACATAAAAGGCATTGACTCGGCTTTCTGAGATTTTCCTTTACTTTCAGAATTCTGTTTTGGTATCCCTCATTACAGTAATGCTTGCCATGTGTACATACAGTCATTTCAAATCATCCTGGGTAACAAGGGGGAGAAATAGTAATTAAAAGGAAAACCAAACCTCAGCATCTAACTGCCACATGAGTCAGCATGTTGTTTAGACAGGGTGAGGTATAAGCAAGGAAACTGACATGCATCAGTTTCACTTCCTTCAAAAGCACTTTATAGGATGCGATTTTATATTTGTATGAATGTATATAGATAGATGATTAATAAGTAATAGGTCAATCATTAGACAGACAGATAGACATACACAGAGAAAGAAAGAAATTGTAATATCGTTCATACAGACATGCAAAGTCAGTTTACTATGCTGTGCTCTTCCCCCTCCATATGTAATGGGAGTTTGGTAAGGATTTCTCAGAACAAACTTATAGTTCACAGCACTTTCAGATATTGGAAGGAATCAGAGATACTCTTAGGGCATGCTCCTGGGCTCAGTGGGTCTAATCAGAGTATTTGCTCTGATTTTGATCAGGTTTGTCTGCACCACTTATGTGAAGCCATTCAAATGGAAATTTGAATGTTCTATGACTTAAAAATTGTGCAAAAGGAAATGTCCAGTTGAGCCTATTCCATTTATGGATTTGCTGTGTGCTCTTAGTCAAGTCTTGACTAAGGCTCATCTCAAAGCTGAATTGCTAGGTGGCCCAACCTGGAGGCTTCTTGTAAATAAATGACAGCAATTTCACTGGCTTGTGTTTGCTACAGGATGACTTCTATATAGTTGATATTTAAGTATTACAAAAGATGCATAAAGGGAAAATGACTTTTCAGGAATTTCCACCTAAATAAAAGTCGTGTACTACTAGGAGCAGGGTCTGTCTGGAATCCCTAGCACTTCTTCACGTGGTGCCTTGTATACCTGGCTGGCATGTCATTGAATTGAATTGAAGTACTTTGAAGACCAAAGATATGGGAATGGTGAGGGGAGAAGGGGACTGCCGTTAATTACAGAGTACTAAAGCTTAAAACTGTTAATGTGAATGAAAAATGGGCATTTTCGTTAATTTGATAGATGTTAATGAAGAGAAGTACTTGCCTTAATACCAGTTTCTTTGTTGTTTTTTAAAGAATTCAGAAAGAACTTGCAGAAATTACATTGGATCCTCCACCAAACTGTAGGTAAGTTGAAGTGGATTTTTATTAATTTTGGAGCTTGTGCTGAAGATATATTTAAAGTGATGAGGAGTTCAGAGTGTTGTTGTTTGTCTTGACGTAATTAACTAGACAACATCATTTTGATGCAGAAAAGCTGCAGGAGCCATTCTTTTCTTCACAGAGATAGAATATTTTGCAAGGATGGTTGTGTTGATAGAAGTTGCTAAAAATAGGGCTAGGTAAAAGGGATGAGATAATAGAATTGCAAGATGACAGTTTGAATCGTCTTTTAGTGGTGAGAATGATAAGGCTCTAAGCAATTTCTTTGCTATGATGGAAGAATATTGATTTGGTAACAGTGGCTAAATATTTTATGTTTGATCATTAATTAATTAATTGGGAAAGTCAGTGTTAAACAGGGAAATATGGGAAAACTTTTTGGTGTTTTACCTTGCGTAATTTGTTTTCTGGCTGTTGCTTCTGCCTTCATATGAATGGTTCTGTTTGGTGATAGAGGTTTGATTTAAAATGATCTATGACCACATGCACTTGATTTTCGTATAAACATTTACTTATGTGGACTAAAATGTGCAGGCTTTGAAACGATGAATGACATAGAGGTACACAGAGAAATGGGGTGAGGGGAGGGAGGGAGATAGAACTTGCGTCTGGTTTGGTAGTTTGGAGATGTCTATTTCAGGACATTTATTTCTATTTTGATATAAGGTCAGTGTTGGAACTGTGCCAGCATTGAGTTCTGATGGTTTGAGAGGGTCCCTTGATGTCTTTCATGAGGAAAGGTCAGACTAAATAAAAAGGAAGTCTCTGAAATGGCATGCCATTGGAGCTGATTCTTTGGTATGACTTTATATCGCTTTCCATATTCTCAGTGAATCACTGTAAAAGCAAAACCAGCAACTATTAATAAAAGAGAGATGTCAACAGATAGCTATCTTTGCAGTTTGGTCATTTGACAAAAGCCTGCCCATAAGGAAATGGTTCTGATGAGGCCTTTATTGTGGGAGATCTTTTGGGTGTAATGCAGGTGCTTAGAGAGAAAAGTGCCCTCTATAGCCGTGCGAAGTATTGTGCAAAGAGTATTTCAGCCAATTAGGGCAAATGCTTCTTTACTAGATAAGGTGGTTTAATATCTATCTACTCTTTCCTATTATACTTACAGCTGGTTCTCATCAAGGCATTACAAAGAGCTTTACTTTAGGCATTGATGACCAGTGAAGATTAGCACATTGATAAGTATAAAACACTAGCCTACTGGGGGAAAATTCATAACTGGAATTGTTTGAACTAAATCTGAAACCCATAGTTCTTAAACAAGAGTTTTTATTTGTTTTAGCTTTCTAAATCCTTTCCCTATGACAGCAAAGCTTAAACTGATTTTTTAAAAAAATCATATTTCAACTGATCAACAAAAGATTTTATAGAAACTTCCTTTGAACAACTGAAATGGGAAATTTGTCAACTGTATACTTGCCATTCTTCGCCAAAGCTTTGTTGCCAGAGATCACAAGGGACATTTATTGCACATCACAAACTCTCTTAGCAAAACTGAGCAAGTGTGTGGGAGTGGTTTGCTTCAGCTGAATAGTCAGGAAATGGTTCAGGCATCCTGAGTACCATTGGCCTGACCACTGCCCATTGATGTTGCAGTGGACATTTTTTTAAAGATGGTGGGTGACTTTATTTAGCTTTGGCTTAGTTACAAATAGCAATTGAGCTTTTTGCAACCAATGATACATCTGGCATGAAATCTTAGGATATTGAGACAACAAATATGTAAGAGTTGTCATTTACTTATACTAAAATAATCCCCATTATTAAAGGAAAAACTTTCGTCATGTTCAAAGCAGAAAGCAGCTTAAAAACTGCATCAGATCTCAGTGAATGTGGATGTGGAAGCCATCACTGTTTTGAAGTGGATGTAGCTAGCGGGAGAAGTTTATTGTTCCATTGTTGTTTTAATTAATAGCTTCCATTTAGATAGCGTTTTAAGGTTTTCAGAGTCTTTATACAAGCATCACTTCATTTGATCCAAACTATAGCCCAGGGAGGTAGGTGCTTTTATTGTATTATCCCCATTATACAGATGAGGAAAGGGAGGCTCAGAGACATTAGTGATTTGCCCAGGGTCACACAGCTAGTGCAAGGCTGAGGCAGAAGTTTGACTTAGGTCTTCCTGACTTCATATTGAATGCCGGGCACTGCCCTGCTCAGAACAATAATGTCTTTAGGGGTTTAATTATAAATTCTCTGTAAAATAAGGAACATCCACATGAGATTTTATTTTTAAGTAAACAGCATATATCTAATAGCTACCCGGACGGTTTGCTTAAACATACACTAACTTGCCTACTCAAGAGATGTGTCAAGGAAATCCATTAAGTGTTTTGAGAACTGGCCAGTTCTCATGAGAAGCTATATTTGTCCTGCTCTGGGTTTGGCTGATTCTTCAGGGGTCGGTCCCAAAATAGTTGCTTGGTCTGGGTCATGGATAGGTCAATGTCATTTGCCATTCGTGTGGCGCTCCCAACTGGCAAATGCGGGATCCCCTGTCGTCCTTATGGCTGGTGTGGAAGTGATGAATTTTAATTTCTCCATATGTGCCTCTGATATAAATTTTCAACATAGTTGTTTAGTAGATGACTATAGTCTTTGGATAATTTGGAGTCAGATATTTGACTGCTGTTTGTTGTAAATGTACATGTCTCTGTGTCAGTGAAAACGTAGTTAGTGTCTTTGGAATGAAGGGTTCACGTACATCTTCGGTTTGGCCTAAGTATGGCGTTGTTGTAGGAACTTGATTCATTACGCTTTGTGTTACTTTCATGCGTGCTGCCTAGAGAATATAATGGATGATTTTTGAAAAAGAAATCTAACACAAAAAAGGATCTGCCTCATAAGAGGTTTTTGAGTTCCCTACTTAGTTATAAACCATGAAGCGTATCCGGTTTCAGGAGAAACTGTCCACACTCACTGCAAAATCCAGTACAAGTCTCACATTTCCTGAGATACCTGTGAGGCTGCTGTTACAGATCCATGTTCTATGCTCGATCTCTGCTTAGAATGTCAGATAGTGCCTTGGTGGGGCAGAGTGGGGAAAGGGAGGGAACTTTGGAAGGGGAAGGATGCTAGTGGGAAATACTGAACCGACTTCTCTCCCACAGCTAGTCATCTCAGGCGGCCAAAATATAGCTCATTTAGGCTTGGTCTATAAGCGGATTGGGGGCAAGACCACCTCTGATTTTGGCCTCACGTTTATTTATTCTTGGTAATTTAATTCAGTTAGCTTGTATTAAATGACTTGCAATATGTAAGCTATTTACTAGGCATTGGGGGTATAAAGATAAAAAATGACATGGTTTCCTACCCCCACGGGTTTACATTCTAAAAGGGGTGAGCTGAAACATAGAATTCTAAGAATGTAATAGGCACACAGAATCAGAGATACTAAAGAATCCCCGAATCCAACCTCCTAATCCTTAGGAGGAGCCTGAGGCCTAGAGTGCAGTGGCTTGCCCAGTTTCATACAGGTGGCAGAGTAAAGCTTTGGCTCAGCTCCTACGACTTTCTCCACCCGGTGTCTTTGAGGAAGATGCTGACGTTCAGGTGATCACCATTCACGTCTATCTCCCCGGATTGTTCTCAAAGCAAGTGAGGCAGGCAGTGCTTCTTCTCTGGGCCCTGGGGCTCAATGTAGCTTCAAATCGATAAAAATGATAACTCCTAATTAGGCAGGACCATACTGTTTGCCAAGCGCTTTGCAAATGTGGCCTCTTTAGATCCCCGCAACGGCCCTGGTCGGCAGGCAGAGGCTATTGTTCGTCCCCACTTTGCTTCACCTGAAGCAGACAGATTCAGAATCACTTTCCTGGTGTCACCCAGCTAATATCTGAGTTTGAATTCAGGTCTTCTTCACTCTATCCCTGTACCACCAAGCTCTGGAGGAAAAGCCTGTCTGTATTGTGCCCATTGCAGCCATTGGAAGTTATTGTTGAAATGTTAGTCTCCATGATTTACTCATGACCAATTTTAAGTAGTCTGAAAAAGGTTATTTTAATAATTGAAGGACAGTTGGATTAGTAAGCAGAGGGCTGGCCTTAGAGATCAGCAGACCTGCCTCAGAATCCTGAGCTTGTCACTTAAACTCTCAGGGCCCCAGTCAACCCTTTTGGACTATAAGTATCAATCCCCTGTCTGCCTCTATGGAAGGAGTTTCCACACCTGGAATTCTTCACATCCAATGAAATCACACATCCAGATAATCTTTTTTTAACAGTCAGTAAAATGAATGTTCCCTTAACAGAGGGAAATATTAAACCGCAATACCTTCAGAATTTCATCTTTTCAGATTTCTGGTTCCATGAGATAGACAGTAAATTAATTGTACTTTTGGTATTGGGTGGATCTTAAATCTTCTTTAGGCTATGAGAGGTTTGCTCTTCTGATCTAAAATTCTTGACGATCCAGATAAGGTACTCAGTTTACAGAATTACAGGACATCTAAACATAATTATTTGTGCTTATAATGAAATTTGATGTAAGCTTAGAATTTTCTAGAAATGGAAGAACATTCTTTATTCATATTCTCTTCGGTTGTCATATTTCCCTCTGTATACAGTTTATTTCTTTTGTGCTAATTGAAGAATGTGATTAGTATTGGCTGAAACATCCCATCTGAGTTAATATATAAATGAACCAGACTGTCTGTCATTTTCTGTTTCAGGGGTGCTGAGTTCTAACACCACTATATGACTGTAACTCTCAGAATTGGGGTTAGCTTTGTCTGTGATTGGAATGACTGAGAACTCTTCAGGTTCTTTACTGATGCCCTTTCTTTTTATATCAGTAATTTCTGGAAATAATCTATACACTGAAACAAAGAAAAAACAAAATTAAACCCAAACATCTAATACAGTGCCTGGCTGCATCCAGCCAGATAACATCCATTTTTCGCTAGAATCCCTCTGTGGCCCTGCCATGAAGAAGGAGGAATGTATTATCCTGTT